AAAAATAAATGTGCGATGAGGGTCGACCTCGCTCCCTCCCCCCCCCTACCGCCAGCAAAAGGCCACCGCCCAGCTTATCGGTCGCCTGAGGTGGGATGGGCACATTGCCTACGCACGTCACAGCACGACCTGGCCCCTTGAGCCCCGCCAGGATACACATAACCAGCCGAGGAAAGGGAGCCGGCGCCCTCCGACTCCCAGTGTCCCTCAGCAAAACAGCAAGTTCAGCAAAACATACACACATACACTAGAATGAACAAAAAACGGATTTGATGAAGGCTACCTATTGGGCCGCAAAGAATTGAGTAGAAGACAGAGAAAGCATCGTTTTAAAGTTTATTTTAGCCCTCAGCAACCAGTGGCGTCTCTGACCATCATACACACGCTCGACCGCTAGGGGATTACGTTAGTTTTTCTGAAGTCCTGTCAGTGTGAGCACAAATGCGTACAAGCCATCAAACTGAGTTGTAGACCTGGCTTGGCTGACAGGCCGTGCCTTCTCATGCCAAAGAAGAGAATACCTACACATGCATTTAAGATCATTTTACTTGACAGAATAGCCTAAGCTCAATTTGCCAGTTCTCTTTCCGGGGGTGGGGAATAGAGTGTATCGCCGCGATCGTGGTAGATACGAAGCTGGCGGTTCCAGTCTTGCTGACCAAGCTTTCTGGGTGCCCAGAATTCTTCAAAATGCCGATAGGCTGGTCTTCGCAATCCTTCTTCCTCCTCCACACCCGCTGAATGCAGCTCCGCTAGCAGTTGTTTCATTCCGGTCAAATAAGCTCGCACCTTAGCCTGCAGGGGATCCTGCCGTCCGGAGGCGTTTGTGTCCCTACTGGTGCGATTATCCGAAACTGCTCTCCTGCCTCTCAGTTCTCCACCAATGGCAGTCATCTGCCTCGAGGCGCGAGACGGTCTTTGTTTCGGCAATCCCACCGACTGGCGCCTTATACGCATTTTTTCTGCTAGCCTGTAAGATGCAAGAATGTAAAAATAAAATACATTGAAACTGAACGTAGTATCACTCCGGGAATATTTTCCGTAATCTTTATGCGACGGCTGAGTTCTCCTTGCGGTCATTTATCTCCGAGTTACACGAACTCAATTTCGAGATAAGATTTTCACTAGGCTGGACGATAAAAGTTATATTTAAAGCTCAATACAGCACACAAAAACCCTAGTCTTTTGCAATACAGAACCGCCGGTGGTGGATGGGCACATCAAGGAAAATAAAAAAATTTTTAGAAGTAGAGCGTGTTAAAGTAGAAAATAATAGAAACAATTATCTACATAACCCAATATATGCGCGCGGTAATTAACATGAGAAATACAACCAATAGGAAACAACAGGTGCCAATAGTGCCTAATTGGATGAAATCGTATATCGACTCGAAGTCGATTCTAAATTGAATCTATGTCAACTCTATATCGACTCAAATTTTAGAGATCAAAGGTAAGATAGGCTTTCTTCCGCCTTTTTGTAAATTCCTAATAGCCTCTAAACCAAAAAGGGGAAACGAAATGAACTAAAAATAAATTAAACTCAAAGCGAAAG